TATACTCCCTTTTTAAGAGAGTAAGAAAAAGAGATTCTACATGTGGTTTTGGTTTTATTCACCAAGGTTCAGGTGTCCTCAGAAGAGATGGGTTTTTAGTTGTCAATTGAAGAATAATTTGTTGTCTGAGTGGGAATGGGAAGATCATTCCACCAGCATGGAGCATTGAGTGAAAAGGTTTTGGAAAGTCGCTTATAGCCTCTTCTTCTGTTTGTCAAAAAATCATTAAAAGAAAAATATCTGACTACAAACTTTGTAAAAAGTAACAAACACATTTTCTTCAAATAGCACAATTAATTTTAACATCAATGATAGATCACGTGAAACTGAAGACTGGAGTAATTGTCTAACCTATATTTAAAAAATTCAGAGAGACTTGGCATTTGCAAGTGTTTTTTTTTTTTTCCTCTCTCCATAGCTGCACTATATACGTCAGTGCTGTTACATATATTCTTTAGTGAATCTATTTTTTATGCAAATATACAGTTGAAGACTTACCGTATTAGCCCTCTCATGACATTTTAATTATTTGCTAAATATTTCCCAAGTGATGTTTAATGGAGCAAGGTAAATATCAGTATCCCAGTATCCCATTATATTTTTCTTCTAAAGAAAGTTTCACTTCCTTATGGCTAAAATTAAATAATAATAATAATAATAATAATAATAATCATCATCATCATCAAAAAAAAAAAAAAAAAAAAATTGCATGTCAATATAATTCTGGAATTTTTTTATTTTTATTTTTTATTGCGTATCGTCCAGTGACTTGAATATTTAACTTCCTGTACCTTGCACAGTTAACCTACTAAGTCTTTAAGTTACACTTTTAGCTGAATATTAGAGTATCTTATATACTATAATAGTATAAAATATACAGATAATATTACCAAATGTGATTCCATCATGACAAAAATAAATGAGTTATTAGACATTAGATATCAAAACACTTTGAAAATATTCTCTCCCTTAAACACACATGATAAATATTTGAACAAAAAAAAAAAACTAATTTCATAAGAGGGCTTCAAAATGTGTGTTGACTGTATATGATTATAAAGTTGTGGTTTTCAACATTAACCATTTTCTGATATCACCCATCTTATCGCTACAATACAGTGGACACTTCATGAGGAATACAGTTAATTTATCCCCTATATGGTTCCAGCAGAACAGCAGATGTGCATGTCACGATTGTCCTTAAGCAGTGTTTGGGAATGTATGTTTTTGTGTGGGCGCTTGCTTGTGTGAAATGCAAATGAGTGCGTTTGGATGTCTAGGTACGTATGTTCATGCCCCCTCTCTGCAAATGTCTGAGTGTGTATATAAATACAGTGCACTCCACTAATGTTGGCAAGCAGCTTTACCATTATCAGGCTGAATTGTTCTGTTTGTATTTAATCGTTCTATTCCACACGGATCCAGTCCAGATAGCTTGGAAATGGTTTCATTTTCCACTGTGGTGCTGCTAACCGAACTCACTGGAACAATACAAATGTGTCAGTCATTGCTTTGGTAATGCAAGTGTAATGTAAACAGTGATATGGAGGATGATCAGATATTTCTGTTTTAGGTTCACTTACTTTCCTTCAGCTTAGTCCCTTATTTATCAGGGCTTGCCACTGTGGAATGAATCACCAATTACTCCGTTATACACTGTAAAAAATGCTGGGTTCTTCACAATTCCTTCATGTTGTCCTAACCAAATCAATTAAGTTAATTGGTTTAACAAATTTAAGCAGATCGAACATAAAACAATTAAGTTCTCCCACCAAAAATGTAAGATTTATGTTGTTTCAGCTCATTTTATATACAGTAAGTAGATTAAACAAGCTGCAAATGTCATTTTTAATGTATGTTTTATGTGGTGGATGCCATTCCAGCCATAGCCTAGTACTGAGAGTATTTTATCTTGTGAAACCTCATTGCTGGTAAACACCCATACTCTGTCTCATTCATACACATACACTCACACTCATCCACTAGAGCTAATTTAGTTTATCTAATTCACCTACTGTATACCGCATGTCTTTGGACTGAAACTGGAGCACCCGGAATAAGCCCACACTGACATGAGGAGAACAAGCAAACAAGTGACAGTGCTAACTGATGAGCCAATGTGTCGCCCAGTTTTTAGGATACTGAATAACAAATGAATAGTGCACTTCCATCTACACAGCTATGGAGAAACTGGCATTAGAGTGGCAACATCATGCACATAAGTGCTCTCCTTGTCCAGCATGGTTCAGCAGGATTGTCTAACAGTGCCTGAAATTCTAGGTCAAGAACTGTTTGTAATCATGCCACGTGTTCCAGGCTCATGTGGAAACCACACATGACTGGTTCAGCATGATAGTGGGAAAGCAATAGTGGTAAACATGAGCAAAGAGGGCTGTAAAATGTCTTTATTGTGTAATCATTTGATATTTTGCTCAAAAAAAAAAAAAAAAAAAGAGAGAGAGAGAGAGGGAACGGGAATGTGTCTTTATAGTGAAATGCATTCTGGGACACTGGAAGTTGGTTCCCACTGATCTTTATGGGTTTATTGTATCATATATACACGAACACTGATTTTCAATAAACTGTAAACACTTAAACTACAAAAAAAAAAGAAAAAAGAAAAAAAAGCCAAACACTTTATAATAACTACACACTATGAATCATTTACTAAGCATTAGCATCTAGTGAGTTCATTATCTGTTAAGCATTAACTCTACATTAATAAACGTTAATAAACAGTTTATGACTGCAGCTACAAATGCTTTATTCTTGTCTTACAAAAACATTTGTAATGTGCTTAATAATTGTACTTTCATGCTTTGTTAATGATTTATTTTTAATTTCTAAATTAAGTATTGCATTATTTACAAACCAGTTGTATTTAAGACTAGTTGAGGGGTTTTAGGATCATTCAGAATGAGTTAGAAAATGATTAATAAACTATTGAAATCAACATTTATATATCTTATTATTTAGGCATATACTAATAGTTAACTAATATGTTAATAAATGCTTTATTAACTCAACTTCATGCTGTTTTGTGACCTAATCTAAAGTGAGGACTATTTCTGCTTTATAAATCCCTTATAAATGACAAATAAAGGCTCAGAATCAAATGAACATCAATCCTTGCAATCTTATTTAAAAAGTAAAATTACTGTAAAGTTTAAACATTGCTGAATAATATAAAACATAAAACTGGATAAAACATGAACGACAATATAATAATATAACAATATAGTAAGATGCAATGTTTAAACTCAACAGTGATTTTATTTTAGGTAAGGTTGCAAAGATTTATTTTTAAATAAAACAGTTTCATGTGTGTATCTTTAAATGAATAGGAATAAATAACATCATTTGTCCTGTTTAGAATTTAATTGAGCCTTTATTTGTCATTTATAAGGGATTCATAAAGCAGAAATAGTCCTCACTTTAGATTAGGTCACAAAACTAGATGAAGTTGAGTTAAAGCATTTATTAACATATATAGTAACTATTAGTATATGCCTGATTAATAAGACATATGAAGATTGATTTCAATAGTTTATTAATCATTTACTCACTCATTCTGAATGATCCTAAAAACCCTCAGCTACTCTTAAATACAAATAGTTTGTAAATAATGCGATACTTAATTTAGTAATGAAAAATAAAATCATTAACAAAGTATGAAAGTACAATTATTTAACAATATATTGGTGTTTATAAGTCAATAATAGAGCATTTGTAGCTGCAGTTATAAACTGCTTACTAACGTTTATTAATGTAGAGTTAATGCTTAACAGATAATGAACTCACTAGATGCTAATGCTTAATAAATGATTTATAGTGTGTAGTTATTATAAAGTGTTACCAAAAAATCAAATATGGAACTATTTTCTAAAGGCAGCTTGTTGATATCCTGTCACTATCAGAACAACTTATATTTTCAGCTTCTCAGACACTCAAAAGACATTCATTAAACTATCTGCACGTTCGTCTATTTAATTTTGAGTGTTTTTCAAATAGTCTTTCTGTTAAACGGTCTGCTTTTTTTATTTATTTTTGTGGTGATTTGCATTGGTTTACAATATGCGCTCCTGATTGTGTCAGACAGCATGGCAGAAAGCAACTCACCATGACATAGATTCCCATTCTTGATAGAAACCAAACAATACCAAACAAAGCCATAGTTCATATTAAAAAAGCAAGTATTTTTGTTAAATATCTGTGTTCCACAATTCATATGAGGGTAACACCTCGGTGACAACCATGACCTCGTGTTTCAAAGAGGTATACATGAGGAAACACAAAAGCCTGACTCAGTCATTCATCTCAATGGGTAAAACCATAGAAAATGGCTGTAATTTGCAGCAAAGTATTGTTGAGCTTCACAAAATGGGAATGGCTTTAAGGAAAATAGAAAAGAAAAAAACACTGAAAATGTCCATTTTCACCATCAACGCAATAATTATGAAAGTTCAGTCAACTGCAAGTGTTATGAATCAGCCTGCAGAAGGCTGTGTGACTGGCTGTGTCCCAGTGCACTGTTAGGATGATGGTTCGACTAGCCAATAAAATCTCCAGCAATCCCAAATGGAGGATTGCAGTAGTTAGTTAGGTCTTGGGGTCAGAAAGTTTGCAAAACTACAATCCAATGTCACCTACAGTAAGTACATCACCACAAATAGTGTAGTTCGGAAGGTTTCCAAGAAAAAAAAAAGCTCTCATCTACTCGTAATCTTCAGTTTATATGCTGTATTTTATATTTTGAGCAAAAGATCAAAAGGTTAAACAATCAAGACATTCTTTTTGTATTCTTCTTCGCTCGTATTTATAAAGAATGGCGATATTGGTGGAGGGCACTGTGAGTTCTGTCAATTGAGTGTGAGGATGTGTCTGCATTTGTATGTATGTATGTATGTATGTATGTGTGTGTGTGTGTGAGCTAGACTGTGCTGTATTGATAAGGCAGGGCGCTCACAGCGGTGTGTGACTTTGGCCTTCTCTCTCTACAGGTAAAGGACCGGAGACTCTGTTCGCAGGGCACAAGCTGAATGACAATGAGTGGCACTCTGTGAAGGTGGTGCGCCGTGGGAAGAGCCTGCAGCTCTCTGTTGATAACGTGACCGTGGAAGGTGAGTGGAAGACCTCATACTACACGCTACATGTACTGTAGATGGACATTCAGTACAGTTACAATCCAGACCCAGTATGTTTAGAAGGACACTTCAGTGAAAAATGTATATAATTTGCCATGTTTTATTCACCCTCGTGTTGTCTCAAAAAAGCATAAGTGTCATAAAAGATTATATTTGGACCAAAAAGTTGACTTTCATAGTATGAAAAAAAAAATAGAACAAAGTTTAGAACAACTTGAGGGTATGTAAAGATTCATTCATTCATTCATTCATTCATTCATTCATTCATTTATTCATTCATTCATTCATTCATTCATATTTGTGGTTATTGAATCATTTATTAATTTATTTATTCATTTGCGTGTGTAGTTATTGTTTTTTCATTCATTCATTCATTCATTCATTCATTCATTCATTTATTCATTTATTCATTCATTCATTCATTTATTCATTCATGTTTGTGGTAATTGTTTGTTTCTTTTATTTATTTATGTTTGTGGTTATTATTGTTTCATTCATTCGTTTGTTCGTTCATTTGTTCAATTGTTCAATCATTCATTTATGTTTGTGGCTATTGTTTTTCATTCATTCATTCATTCATTCATTCATTCATTCATTCATTCATTCATTCATTCATTCATTCATTCATTCGTTCATTCATTCATTCATGTTTGTGGTCATTATTTACTTACTTGTTTGCATTTGTTTGTTTGTTTGTTTGTTCCCTCCCCCCTTCCTTCCTTCCTTCCTTCCCTCATGTTTGTGGTCAATATTTACTTGTTTGTTAATTAATTAATTAATGTTTGTGGCCATTATTTGATTGCTCGTTCATTTGTTTGTTCATTTGTTCGTTCATTTGTTCGTATGTTAGTTCATTCATTCATTCATTCATTCATTCATTCATTCATTCATTCATTCATTTTTTGTGGTCATTTGCTTGTTTCTTCCTTCCTTCCTTCCTTCATTCATGTTTGTGGTCATTACTTACTTGTTCATTCATTCATTCCCTCCTTTTTTCCTTCCTTTTTTTTCTTTTTAAATCATCCATTCAAAAGTTGTTTGATCTGATTAAATGTGACATTCATGACATCTATAATGCTACGTTGGTTTCAAAATAAAGAGCCCCCACACCCCCCCAACAAAAAGTAATAATTATTATATTTTAATTAGAGCTTGTTGTAATGCTTTTTTACCATTGAGTTGTAATAATTAAAATGTTTTATTAATTATTCCAGCTAATGATGTGTTTCATGTAATAAAATGGTTAATATCATATACATTTGAGACAAAAAAAGTAGATGATAAACATGAATACATTTAACTATTGACAATTTGACTGAATTAGATGTGTACATGTTTCTTACTGTATGCTGTTCTATGGCTTTAGATTGTTTTGTTAAATTGACACAGACATGCATTCTTAAAAAAAATAATAAACATACTTCATTAGCAATGATGGTTTCATAAAGATCCTGCTTTATAATGGATAAAAGTGCTATAGATTGTTAAAATATCATTCGCACTACAAAAAAAAAAAAAATGTTCTTGTAAATACTGCTTGCTGAAAGTTTCCTTGGGGAACCTAATGTGCTGCTTCTCTGGTTTAACTGCGAAAACACCCCCTTGGAACCTTTATTTTTAAGAGTGTGGAGACAACTTAAAGATTATATATAGAACAGTTTTTTCAGGTTTAGATTCATGTTGCACATTGCAAGTTCAGCATTACAACACATCCAACTCTGAACTGAACATCAAAAGCTGTACTTGCCTTGGGATGGGCTCAGGCAGCACGCCATTCCCTCATATCATCTGCTCCCAGACCTGACTAATCGAGCGTGTTTGGTTCTGCCACAGGCCAGATGAGCGGAGCACACACGCAGCTGGAGTTCCACCACATAGAGACGGGCATCATGACTGAGCGCCGCTTTATCTCAGTCATGCCATCCAACTTCATCGGCCACCTGCAGGGCCTCTCTTTCAACGGCATGCCTTACCTAGACCAGTGCAAGAATGGTGACATCTCCTACTGTGAGCTCAACGCCCGCTTCGGCATGCGCCGCATAGTGGCCGATCCGGTCAGCTTCCGAAATCGAGCCAGTTATGTGGCGCTGTCCACCTTACAAGCCTACGCCTCCATGCACCTCTTCTTCCAGTTCAAAACAACCAGCCCTGATGGTCTGATTCTCTTCAACTCTGGGGATGGCAGTGACTTTATCGTGATTGAGCTTGTAAAAGGGTAAGTGTGAGTTTTAATTGAACAATTTTAACAAATAATACAGGGTTTCTGTGCTTCTTCAAAAAGTGAAGTTCATTTATAATTTTTTTAGAGGAGCACCTGCTTATGATTGACCACAGCTGGTCCAGCATTAGCTATTAAATGATTTACCAATCAGATGAATCCAAACGTACATAAATAACCAGATTTTCTTACCTTAGTCATCTTCATCTAGAAGAATCCCCCCCATCCACAGTTCCTCCTGCCCCTCTTACCGAGAATAATCCAGAATAGGCTAGCACATCAGCTAAGTGGTTAGCACTGTTACCTCACAGCAAGGTTTGAGTCCCGACTGGGCTGGGTGTTTCTGTGGGAAGTTTACATGTTCTCCTCATACTCACATGGGTTTCCCTCAGGTACTCAGTATAAGGGATTTAAATAAACCAAATTGGCACAGTATATTGGTGTTTTAGTACTCAGCATTCACCGCATAAACATATGCTGGTTTAGTTGGTGGTTCATTCTGCCGTGGAAACTCCTAATAATCAAGGGATAGGCCGAAGAACAAATTCAGCAGGGCTCCCAAGATCTACCTGAACTCAGACTCCCCTCCCTCCGGCAGGGAGCCCCAGGCTCGAGGGAGGGTGCCCCAGACTAGAGGATCTTCTGAACTCAGGGCTCTCTCCTGTAAAACCATGCTAAACATGTTTTATTATCAATAAGTGTGAACTTTTGAAAGTCTTAAAGTCTTAAAGGGGACCTATTATGCCCCTTTTTGCAAGATGTAAAATAAGTCCCTGATTTCCCTAGAGTGTGTATGTGAAGTTTCAGCTTCAAATTGATGACTGTTGCTTTAAATTCAAATGAGATCAGAATCAGTTTTATTGCCGAGTGTTCTTACACACACAACAAATATGTTTTGGCTACAGGAGCTACCAGTGCGCATAAAGTGACAAGTGACAACACAAAAATAAATATGAGAAAATACAAGAAACACCAAACAGAGAGATGCATTTAGACCAGGGGTGTCAAACTCAGTTCCAAAAGGGCCGAAGCCCTGCACAGTTTAGTTCCAACCCTGCTCCAACACACTTACCTGTAGGTTTCAAACAAGCCTGAAGGACTCAATTAGTTTGATCAGGTGTGTTTAATTAGGGTTGGAACTAAACTGTGCAGAGCTGCGGCCCTTTTGGAACTGAGTTTGACACCTGTGATTTAGACTAAGAGCTCTGGATGTTTTATTGTATGCACAGTTTGTTAGAAATATAAATGTTATAAGGTGCTGTGTACAACTGCAAAGATATTGTGCTATTTTATATTGTGCTATATCTATGCATCACCATAGTGACAGATTCAAAACATGATTAACATTGTCTGTGTGAAAGGCTGAAAATGTCAATAGAAGTGCCCCTGAACAAGGCAGTGTGTGGAAACTCCAGTCTTAATTTCTGCATCCTATAATCCTCTTAGTCACTGACTTTTTCTTTAGCAGACAAAAACACTAATGGCGGATGGCTGCTTCTCACTCAGGACTGTCTATACTAATGAGGGAGATATTGTTACTAATACGTGGGACTTTTCCCCTCTGATGACATGCAAAGGGAGAATGTCAATCAAAGTGTTTCAACAGTTTTATTAAGTGTAATTATAAAAAATGCAGTTAATAAATTTTTACCATCAGAGACTGGTTATATTCACAAACCGGTGCCGCACAACTGTTTAAACCCCTTATAAAAGTGATTTTTGCATAAAGGTCCCCTTTAAATCAATGTTATGTGAGTTAAGACCTTAAAAGGGTCTTAAATCAGACCAGCCAGTATTAAATTTATGATAAAAAATTATCAAATAATCAAAATTTCTTCTGTGAAGATATTCATCATCGTCATCATCATTGGTGTCTTTATTGTTTTATCAACATGCTTGAGAGGAATATTACTGCTTCATTCAGGACATCCTTCAAAGATGTATGTTCTTTATAATTATAGATTCTACTATTTTAGTACATCGGTGGGATGCAGTGAGTATTAATACAATAGTCCCTAGGTGTGTGTTTGTCAGTTTGCAAAATTATGCACTGCATAACTTAGTGGAGCCATCTAGCGCTGTTGTGTGGAGCTGTCCTGAGACTGACGGAAATTACAGAATTTATTTTTAAGCACTGTTGTTAAATCAGAGGCATTCAAGCCTTACATACTTTGTCAAATTTATTTAAACGCTAGATCAGTTTGTTTTTGTTTTTACTGAAAAGTGAAAAGGCAGCTTCTTAATAGCTTAGAGTAGAACGTCACTTGTTGTTATCTCAAAATTATGGTAATTACGACATTGTATGAACCCAGCTCGTATACCGTCACATGTTGTAATCTTAAAATTTTAATGTGGATGCAGCAGAACATGTAATTTACATTTACATTTAGCACACACTTTTATTCAAAGTGACTCGCATATATACACCATGAGCACACAGTTTGGTCTTCGGTGCCTTACTCAAGGGACTCTTACCTCAACCATGGCATGAGGGTGGAAGAGAGTGCGAGTTATTCAGTCCCCCTATTTTTGAACTTGCAACCTGTGGGTCATAAGTCCAACTCACCAACTATTTTTGTCCAATCAAATGCACTCTGTGGTAAGAAAGGTCCCTACATCCAGATTTATTCTGACAGTCCGGCAATTTTAATAAAAAATGTGCTTAGAAAAGATCATTTGAATTCATGCTGTCTTTAAATGGCAAAGCTCCGCCTTCCGCTTCTTTAAACCAATCCAAATAAATTGTCTTTATTAAAGGACTTTATGGGTCATTCAGAGGACCATGTCACTTCTGCTCATACTCAAATTGCTTAAAACACAGCATTAAGCATTAAAAGCCATTTAATTAAACTCTGAGAGATGTGAACTATAAAGAAAAGATGAGAATAGAAGATTTCTTAACATTACCCTGTAAGTAAGGAACTAGAAATTTCAGAAATAGGAAGGGTATTATGAAATGATAATAAAGCCGAGAACTACCTGATTGAGAAAAGAGAGGGAGATGAAATTAATGTGCAATATAAAGTTAAGCCTTATATGTGATGGAAAGCTCGAGGCCTGAGAAAAAGCGATCTTAGCAGAATGCAAAGTTTTCTGAGCTTTACTACAGCAAAGGAAATCATATTATTCTCTAAACTCTGAGATTACAGCCTCATTTGAATGTGATTTAGAAAAAAAGGCTGTATTGTGAATACTTAGAAAACGCTTCCTCATATTTTGTGATTTTGGTGGCTGCATTTAGAAACAGCAGTCAGATTCATCAACAAAATATGCATAGAAGTTAGTTTGTTTAATTGATTTCTAAAATGAATTTCGCTGACTGCCTTATAGGCACATATGCTGTTTCAAAAATAGGCATACCCACCAAGCAATTTGTGCTTAATAAATGTCTAATAGCATTGATGGCTTGGCTAAATCATGGCTAAATTTGAGTCAGTGAAAATCTCAATGACATCTAAGAATAGCGCAAAACTAGAGAAGACATCAAACTAGATTGGGTGTATGTGTAGTCATTCATTTCTTTTGGATTTCAGATCATTTTCTTTCTATCCTTGTTTTAGCCAAGCCATCTAAACTACCGGTCAAAAGTTTGGGGTCAGTAGGATTTTTAAATGTTTTAAAATAAAGCTTATCCTGCTCACCAAGGCTGCATTTATTTCAAAGTACAGAATAAAAATAAATATGATCAAAAATACAGTACAAATTGTAAATTTGTGAAATGTTATTGCACAAAAAAATAACTGTTAAAAAGTAGTCTATAATTTAATTTGATAATTTATTTGAGTGATTTTAAAGATGATTTTCAGCTTCATTACTCCAGTCTTCAGTCACGTGATCATTCAGAAATCACTCTAATATTAATTAATAATCATTATATAATAATAATAATAATAATAATAATTATTATTATTATTATTATTATTATTATTGTTATTATTATTATTATGAATGGTAAGAGTATTAAAAGCAATAATGACTGTAGTAATGATTTCATTTGAAACTACATACAAAAAGAACACAGAAATTTATCATTTTAATCAATATTTATCAATTTAACAATTCTGTTTTACATTTAAATAAATGTAATTTTAATGTAGTTATTAGTTTTCTTTAAAAATAAACATGAAAAAAAACAAAAAAACTGACCCCCAACTTTTGACCAGTAGTGTATGTTTAGACATCCATTAGATCTAAAAAAAATGCTGTTCTAACAACACTTTGTTTTGGTAAAATGCACACGAATAACCATTTTACTCATGATTTTAATACTTTATTATGTTTTTAATATGTGTTTACTGTGCGCAATGTTGTATAACTTTAAGCAAGCTACCTTAGAGCAAGTTTACATGACATTAGTGTTATTAGTGTCGACCTTTTCCTTTTTTTTAGTTTTGTAATTTTGTACATGTATGAAACATCAAGCAAAAAAGTCTGATTGAATAGAAGTGAGAATATATTTAGTTTGAATTCAGAGTTAAATAAAAACATGATATATAGTAGTTTTTCCATTAAAATGTTTAAAAAGCAATAGAACAGTGTTATTTATATAGCTGACTTATGTACTTAATTTAAACCAAATGTTTTGAAGAATGTTACATTTTGAGAAATATGCAATTTTATCTAATGACACAAACCATAACTTGTGTCATGCTAATGACATCACACACCCTCAATTTCCAGTTTATTTTTAGAGAAAGAGGAGGAAAAATACATTTTGTGAAGTTTTTTTATAAACAATTTCAAGAGGATAACTTGTTTATTATTGTCCACGGCTGGTCCTGCATTAGCTAACACTTGATTCACCAATCAGATGATTGCTAAGTCATTGTAAATAACCAGATTTTCATACCTCAGTTATCTTCATTTTGAAGAATCCCCCTTCCACCCCTACTCCTCCCTTTTCCTAGATAGGGTTGCACGGCGGCACAGAATTTCCAAATAGATATCGCTGCTGCCCAGAGACCTCCAAGTGGGAGGGACTTAAACCACTAGTAGGG